TTAGCATTCTTTTTGTTTGAAAATCGTATGCTTATATTTTATACTTTATATAGAGTTCTTATATTATTTCCTCTTGTAAATATTAAATTAAAAAAATAGATATAATTTTTTTAAAAATGAAGAGTGTAATAAATAACCGCAACCTCTAAAGAAATTAGTGTCAATTAAAAATGTAAATGAGCTGAGTTAGGTTATATTTTTATCTAAATAGGACATGTTTAGTTTATCAAAAAAACAAAAAATAAAATAAGACATGTTTATATAAAATATTTTGAAATTAGTTAGTCTTGTGTAAATTAAATTATAGGTGTGATTCGGCTTATGTTAAACAATTAAAAGACTATTTTCAAAAAAAATAAAATAAAATTAAAAGACTTGTCCTAAACCAATTAATCTATCAAGTCTTGAATATTTATCGAGAATTATAAAATACAAATGAAATAATTTTTTTTAATATATGCCGAATAAAAAAAAAGCCTAATAAAAAATAAGCCCATGATTTTTTTCTAAATAATTTTTAAAAAAATTTGAGTCTATTTTATTTTACCTAATAAGTCAGATTCAACTTGACGTAAATCGAGTCATTTTACACCCCTAGCGTCAATAATCTCTATTTCTAATAAAATAAAATTAGTAAAATACAATAACAATAACTCTTTATATTTCATTTTAATAAACTTGTGTCGGTTCATGGTCATATAACCAATGCCGGAACACCGACTAAAATATCACTGTTCACCAAGTTTTTTACCTAAATGACACGTGAACAATGTTAATTTTCAATCTGCCACGGAGGCAAGTTCGCTACCCGGTGTAGCGATCTCGGTTTGCTGATGTGTCACATTTCTAGTAGATAACAAGTAGCAAATTTTTTTAAAAAAGTATGGAGTTCGCTACATTGGGTAACGAACTTGGTTAAAACCAAGATCGCTACCACGTGTAGCGAATTTGGTGTCCACTAGAAACGTGACACGTCAGCAACCCGAGTTCGCTACACCGGGTAGCGAACTTGCCCCCGTGGCAGATTGGAAAATAACACTGTTCGCGTGGCATTTAGGTAAAAAACTTGGTGAACAGTGACATTTTGGTCACTTTTCCTGTGAACTCCACATATTTATGTCATACACCCATAGAATTTAGTGTCAACTTTTTCTTTTTCTTTTTAGATTATGAACCCCACATATTTATGTCACTCACATGAGAATACTATCTCATGTAACATGAGATTAGTAAATCTCATACTATAATGGGGAAAATGTTTCCGCAGTTAATGCAGAGAAGTTATCTGCATTTATTCTCAAAACGACGTCGTTTTGATATTGAAATCTTAAAAAATTATAAATATAAAAACTATTATAACCCTAAAATAAATTAAAATTATAAAAACACCATGATTTTCGTCTCAAAACGACGTCGTATTGGCTTACTGCAGATAACTTATCTGCAGTAACCGCAGAAAAAACGAACCCTAGTATAATATATTCAAAATTTTAAAACACTTGTCAGGTGAGGATTCAGTGAAGTCACCATTCAGTACCTCACAACTCACTGCACATGCCCTTCATGCTTCCACATGTCTTGATGTCTTATTTCGTAATTTTTCCGAACCAAAATTGTGGATCAACAAATTTGACATTGTTGGGTACAATGCCTATGCCAATTATAAAGGGAATATATTTTTGAATGGTCTTATGATGTTAAATTATTCTGTTAATTCTCTCTTTACATACAGCGATTTTGTTAATTTCTTTAATACACATATATAAGTGGAGTCCTATCAAAATTTATAAATACTAATAAAGAGAAAAAGTCATGAAATTTCTATATCAGAATTCATATTGAATTTTCACTTGATATTATCACATTAAAATTTTATATCAATCTATCTCTCTTTAGTCTTTACATTTTAGGCTTTGCTTGAATTTTCAAAAATATATATAGGTATTTATCGATGTTTATTACTTCAAGTGAAAGTGTTTATTATTTTTTAATGTATGCAGTCTTAGGGCCTGTTAAAATTGTCTTTTTGAGGATATAAAAAAATTGTGTTTTTGAAAATAATTTTTTGATTTTTCGAAAAAAAAGAAATAAAAAAACATGTTTGATAAGGCTTGTTTTGACTTTTAGAAAGCATGTCTAAATTATAATTATTAGTTTTTAGAAAAAATTTAGAAAGCATGTCTAAATTATTTTTGTTTTGTGTTGTTTTGACTTTTAACTTTCAAAACGCGTTTCATTAACTATTTTACAAAATAATTTTAAGAAAAAAACACAATCAAGGCCTTAATCTCCGAATTTATGTGTATGGAAAAAGAATGCTATTGAGAACAGTTTTTGACTATACCTCAAGAGCATAGTTATCAATATCTTACATACCCGATACGATTCATACGATATATTCCTAAGCCTAGCGATATGTATCGTGAGATGTATCAAAAAAGAATTTGTATCGAACGATACAATATTTTATCTTACGGTATGATACGATATACTTAAATTAAATCAAAATCTGTAGTTTTAATAAAAAAATAAAGATTTGATTTGCGATTTAAATTAAAAAACCTAAAAGGATCCTTTTTGGAAGAGGATGATGAATTAGTTATGTCACTAATAGATGTTGATAGTAATAGTATTAGTCTTAATGATGCATGAGTAGGAGAATAACTAGTTTGCAATTTAATTATTTATGTATTTTGCTTGCTGGATCATTTTTGAAATTTAGATTTATATAATATTAATTATATTATATATTTTTAAATTATTTTTTATTATATTTCTGTATCTTACGATTCAATATGATTTACGATAAAAAAACCGATCAAACGATATAATATATATATTGCGATTCAACAACCTTGAGTTTAATTTGTCATTTTTTGGTTAATGGGATATTTAAAAATAAAAAACAACTAGGTCTGTTTTAACATAAAATAATTTTATAAATCATAAATCTTTTAATTCAATATAAAAGGAGGTTATATTCAGAATTTTTCTTTCCTCACAATTTTTTACAACCAATTTTTATTATTGAATTAAAATTAAATAAATAATTATAAAATGACATTAAATAAGAGCGTGATTGTGAGAAATTTACAAGGAAAAAGTTATAAATATAACCTATTTCTTTAATAATAATATTATTTTTAAATGTATATTTGATGTTATTAGTTATGGAAAAAAAGTTTATTATTTTGAATAATACAATTTTATATATTTGAAGTGAAATAACTGTGTTTTAATACATATCAATTAGTTTTTTATATTCTCTTTCCTTCTTAATAATTTTTTTGATGCATATTAATTAGTTTTTTATATAATCTTTTTTTCTACTTTTGTAGAGGAGAAAATATAAAAGATCAATAAATATATGAGGGGTGATATTTTTAATACCAAAAAATCCATTATCTATCTAATTATCATTGGATTGGAGAGAAAAATACTAAAAAATTTTTGAAGAGAAAAAATATATTTAATCCAATAATATTGATCAAAAAAAATATTCCCTCTAAATATATTAAAATAAAATTATTCTATTTAAAGAGGAAAGTTATACTTACAACCTTTTTTTTACAACCTCTTACAACCATATCTTAACTCCGTTGATTTCCGCCAATCAACAGTTATCATTTATTGTGAATTAATAATTAATTAATGAGTTTAATTTACGAAAATCATAACCGTTGATTGACGAAAATCAACGGTGTTAAGATATGGTTGTAAGAGGTTGTAAAAAAAAGTTGTAAGTATAACATTTCTCCTATTTAAAATGACATAAAATTATGTTCATAATATTTTTTCTATTATTGTTATAATTTTTTAAGATTGTCATTTCCATCACGTCAGAACTAAATGGTCATGTTTAATTGTTTATGATATCTTAGGAAGCCGTTTGGTACGAAGTATTTTTTAGGATTTCGGTAATCATATTTATTTACTCATATTTGGTACAAGTTTTTTAAATTTTTTATCGGGAATCTAAGGGTGTGCATGACAACATTCTATTCCCTATCACTGTTTCTGAAAAGAAACAATTCTTTTCTATTTCTGTTCCTTGGAACAGTTTCTTAGAAAAAAAAAGTGTTCGATAATATGTCTATTTTTATTCCGAGAATAAGAATTGTGTTTGATAACATAACAAATAATATAATAAAAAATAATTATTATTAAATATAAAAAAATTGGATCATCACTTTCCTCTCCATATGGTGTGGTTGTGGTGGTGGTGGCGAGTGGGGAGGGGGTGGCATTAGAGTCGGCAAAATGGGTTCGGCTCGGCGGGCCAACCCGCCCAACCTGTCAACGGGGCGGGGCGGGCTGAGTGTTCTAGCCCACTTTCAAAAATGGGGCGGGGCGGGCTGGCTCATTTTTTGGCGAGTTGATGGCGGGGTGGGGCGGGACGCCCACTTTGCCACCTCTAGGTGGCATGGTGGTGGTGGCGGCGACGACAGTACGACGATGGGAGGCAGTGATGTGGTGGTGGTTGTGACGACAGTGGCTGCGACGGTGGTAGTGGTAGGGATGGTGGTGGTGGAGGTGACGGAAGTGGCTGCGACAATGATGGTGGTTGGTGGCAGCAACAATGGTAACGGTGTCATAGTGGTAGTGGTGGTTGTGGATGGTGGTCTCAGAATTTTATTTTGAGTGTAAATTTTTTCGAAAATACTATCTAAGAATACCTTCCAGGAGGTGGTATTCTAGGATTTCTATGGCAATGAAAAATTCAATACACCTAAAATATCATTAAGAAAATTAACACAATATTTCCAGAAATATTTTAGTCTACCAAATATTTTTTTGATAATATTTTCAGAAAACTCATCTTTACATCATATTTTTGAAAAAACGTGATTGTCGAATAAATTTTTTTTTTTTCCTCGCTCCTTATATGTCCTCTTTGGTCATTTTAATGACCCCACCCAAATTAGTACACCAACACCTGAATCCATCTCAAATCAAAATCGTTTTAAAAGAGAGCCAAAATAACAAAAATTTCAAAATAATAAAAAAAAACTCCAAAAACCAGAAATAAAAGAGAGAGAGAACAAATCTACCTTTCTCTCTCTCTCTCCGATCAGATCGGGCACCCACTGTCTGAAACCCCGACTTTGATTCCTTTTTTGTGTTTCCAAACGTTTCAATATTCAATTTGAATTTGGCATCATTTTTCGTTCCCAATTTCTGTGATCTGGAAAATCCCTTGTGATTTTGGGGGGTTTGGGGTTGCTTGATTCGGATTCGTTGCGACGGGGATGGAGATTCGTGCATTGAATTTGTGAATTTTGTAGGTTTTGTTGTAATAGATCATTCGTGGTTCTCAAATGGCGTCGGCTCAGGTGCTGCCAAACTCCGCCGCTTCGTCGCGGAAGCAAGAGCATCTCGAAGCTGGCAAGCGCCGGGTATGGATTTCATTTTTTTTTAATTCATTTTTGTTCTGATTATCAGCTTGTTGAAGATGTTGGAATGTGTTATTGATTTGGGGTTGGTTTGTATTGCTCGTTATAATGTTATGTGTATCTGATGGTAATGTAATCGGGTAGAGTTTAATTTTTTGTGTTTTTCCGTTGTGAAGATGTTGTAGCCCTTGGATTGTTGAGATGATTGTGTTTGGGTTTGGGAGGGTAAATGGAAGGAAATAGGAAATTGTGAAATTGAATGGAGGGCAGCTGAAAGGAAGAGGAATGTGCAATCTTCAATGAGGGTCTGAGGGTTTGTATGTAAATCTTTCATGATAGTTAAAGGCATGGGCAAATGAGGGGTCCTACCGAGGAATGTCTATTCTGCTGTTGGAAGAAACTAGGTTCTGCTACATGGGTCAATTGGACGTCATTGGGCTCTATCAAAAACCAATATTTTCTTAAAACCATTCTTAGTATGGTCCATTTTAATTGTTTTTCCTAGTGTTTTCTTAGGTCATCCTTCATCCAATTTAGTCAGACTTATGTTCCATTTGGTCTACTTTTCTTCTCCTTAGGGGGGTTTTCTTCATCTTCTCCTCCATAGATGTTACTCCAACGTTCTCTTAGATGCATTTATTCTAAATCTTATCTTTTTTGTAGTCTACTCATTCAGAGAAAACAAAAGAAAACAAGAGAAAGGTTGAGAGAGAAAAGAGGGTTACTTTTGTATTTATACTACTCCAATACTTATCCATTTTAGCATTCTTATCTCCGCTACACTTATTTTTTTGCTTGCCCTTCTTGGAACTTCACTACCTAACATTCACTAGCTGTTGGGTGAAAGTACATGAACGGTTTTTTATTTCCAAATATTTTCTATGTAATCTGACTACTTATTGCATTGTTAATTTATTATGTGTTATATCAAAAAGTTATTATGTGTCTTCTGAAAGTACAGCTTTTTTTTTTGCCTTTTTCTGTCAGTCTCAAATAGTTTTTTGGGTCTTGCAGCTGGAGGAGTTTCGTAAAAAGAAAGCTGCAGAGCGGGCCAAGAAGTCTTCATCCTCGAGCCATGTTCACAATTCTGATGCTAGCCTGAATCAAAAACAGGCTTCTGAAGTTGAAAATGTACGAGTTAATGAATCGGATGGAGTTACCACATCTGGCAGTATTGGAGGTGCTGTTATTGACACATTAACTTCGGGAATGGGTAATGACAAGAACCTGGAATTGTTTAGCCAAAGTAGTAATCAAGGGTCTTTGGCTGGTAGAACTAGTCTTGCAAGTGATGATTTTAATACATTGTCTACTAGTCTGGTGGAGGCACATTCAGAGATTGATGAAGCTAAGAGATATAATGCTTCTGCTGTTACTGCATCTGCAGATGTTAGTCGAAGCAATGAGGCAAATAAGGTGAATGATATGTATGGAATTCATGCTGGTCGTCTTGGCAGAAACCCATATGGGACTACAAACCACCAAAGCATTCTTCTACATTCGCAAGAAAGTCAAGATTTTGGTAGCAATACTAGTCAATCTAGTCTTCATGGAATGAATGAAAACCAGCCAATCAAGAGTAACAGTTCTGTGAAGGATTATGCAATTACTGATCATGGCTCTTCTCCTTATTTTCCATCAAAAATCTCACCTCAGAACTCTGTTGATACACTGCTGCAAATTAAGCCAACAAATTCTAGCACTTCAGATAGCGGTTTTTCACATGGTTTGCTTTCCGGAGGTAACATTTTAATTTTCTTTTCTTAGCTTCTATTGTTTCAGATTTTTATAATTTTTTTTTTCACCATTTTCATTCAACCTGACGGTGGCTTAGAACTCTTTGCTGATGAAGTTTTGCAAAATACATGTATTGCAGGCTTCAATGATTCTTTCAGTTCTAAGTTTAGGGAGACCATTACTAGTTCTGATAGTGATTTAACTGGCCTTCATGGTGCAACTATGCCAAAATATGATTTCACCGGTTATGAAACAAGGAATCCCTCCAACCATACACAAATACATTCAGTGTCAATGGAATCTAGCTCTAGGAGGTCACGTCCATCTTTTCTTGATTCTCTAAATGTCACTAGATCTTCTTTGGGGTCTCCATTTCATCAAACTGAGCAAGATTCCTCTATGTCCAATCATTTAGAATCAAGCAGCAATGATATGTCAGGATCTTCTTATTTCCATAAGCCATCTGAAGAGACTAAAAATGTGGCACATTTATCAAATTTTACAACTGGAAGTGTTCATAGTCCATTTGACCACTTGACAAACTCTTCAGTTTTTAATAATAACAGTCAAGACACACTGATGATAAGTGCTAAGGAAAATGGCATGGAGAAGAAACACGATTACTACACTCCTTCAAAAAATGAAGACTTCGCTGCTTTAGAACAGGTGGTTTTTGTTAGTTATGGTCAAGAAATTTTCTCTTTTGATGCCTACAGCAATGATATATCAAGAAATTTGAGAAATTTTCTCAAATTGTATGTTGTTGTAGTGCTTTACTTTGCCTATGTATTTTTGCTGAATTAGCATAAAAAATGATTTTTCTGATGGTTGAGATTTTTGTGCTTGATTTATTAGGTAAATTAATGTTTGTAGAAGTTAAAGCCTTCGGTTTTTGGGGATATCTATGATAACAAAATACGAGTTAAAATATACCGAATTTTTAATTGGAGTCTTGGAGATTTACTGACAGCACGATTTCATGCATAAGTTGTGAAAGGATGTCAATAGGTTTAAACTAAAATATGTTCTTTCATAATTTATGTAGTGTCTTTTGCTTGTCTAGTTTAAACCAATGAAATATGGATATAAATTGTTCATCATATTAAATTGCTAGTTCTAGCAGCAGAATATTAGTATATGTTATGCACAATAGCTTCTTTGTACTAATTCTCATAAATTCAAATTTTACTCTCAACTTGCAAATGTGTCTAATTCTTATGAGTTGTAAATAAAATTGTAATTTTTTTGGTTGTTATTTCAATAGTTTTTAAGAGAGGACGGTTATTAATGCACTTGCATGTTATAATCATCTTGGCTTTTACATGCTTTTGTTACATGTCAAAAATATATATTCTGTTTTATTGACTCTATTTTTTTCCCTCATTTTTATGCTGCAGCATATTGAAGATCTAACACAGGAAAAATTTTCTTTGCAACGTGCTCTTGAGGCTTCTCGAGTGTTAGCAGAGTCACTAGCTACTGAAAATTCATCTCTGACTGATAATTATAATCAACAGGTTGGCTTATGGATTACAATATGTCATTTTGTGGAATGTTCAACTTTGAAACCATTGCAGTTTTTAATTTTTATTCTATTGTCTTATAATTTTGTTATTTTTGCGTTCAACTAGAAGCCTTTGGTACTGACAATTTTTATTAGTTATTATAATGTAATACATCATGTGTTTATCCATTGAGCATATTAGGATATTGCATGTTGAATTCTTTAAAAATAATTTTGAAGAACATTAGGTTTCCAATAACAGGAACAGTGATTGCTGTGACTTTCTTCAAGTCAGTGGCTTTTGGGTCTACTTGTATCCTTTATGAGATAGAACATTTGAATATTATCGGTCCGTGTGTCTGCGGGTTTAGAAAAGGATCTTAGTTGGTTATAAGTTATAGAAATTGTGCAAATCTCTTGAGATTTTTCTTAGTCCTGGGTTGGTGGGTTACTAAGTTGTGTTAGTACTTGGTTCTTTGTTATTTTGGTATTACTAAGTACAGAATTTGTGCAAGATGTAGTTCTTTTTCCTAGTCCTGGGTTAGTTGGTTACTAAGTTGTCTTAGTACTTGGTTCTTTTTTATTTTGGCATTACTTATAATCTGATTTTGAATTTAAATTGCTGCTGTGTTTACTTTGGAGGTTCGTAGTTGTCTTTATGGATATGAAACTATCTTCTGCTTTGTTTTACAATTTTTTGTTTTATGTTTTTATAGAGAAGTGTTGTCAACCAATTAAAATCAGACATGGAGAAGTTACAAGAAGATATCAAAGCGCAACTGGTTTGTATCAATGCTCCATATCTAATTGCATAATTTTTTTTGCTGTGCTGGTATTCCCTTATATGATAATTCACGGTCTAGATTTGAAAGTTCATGTGCCCACATGTTTAAATTTATAATACTAAATCATATATTGAAAATGAATTTTAAACAAATATAAAGGTCAGTAGGGCACGCCCTGGTGCACAAATTTTTTAAATAAATATATTTATTATTAAAACTTTGTAAAGTTATTATAAATTTAATTATTGTATATGATTAATCAAGCTGGCTCACAATCTTTTTGCTGTAATTATATATTTAGCCTCATATAAAACTCGATGTAGAGATTGTGAAGCAACTAATTGAGCCAATCCTGCTGAGGTTGTTGAATTGAGCTGATTTTGTTTCCTATCCCAAGTTTTTTGGTAAATTGAAAGATTATGCTCAGATACATGTAAAGAATCAATTCAATCCAAAAACTTAAGCTATTGGATGAAGCTACATTAATGACTTTATATTTCTCTCACACGCCCCCTCACACGAAAGCCCATTGGACTTGAAGGGTGGATGATGCACCTCCCCAGCCTACCTATGCTAAGAAAGTCCACAATATTTAATTACTTTTATTAATAGAATGGGACGGTGGGGATCGAACTCGTGACTACTTGGTTACGGAAGCTCTGATACCATGTAAAGAACCAATTCAACCCAAAAGTTTAAGATGTTGGGTGGGGCTATATAGCTTTATATTTCTCTAACAAGACATTGGAAGGCTATGAGTATCTTTTTACCTGGAATATTCATAATTCATTTCGGTATACACTGTAACTGTTTTTAAATTTTTGAAGAACTTCCATTTTAATTGATGTGCTTAGTTTCTTGAAATGGTGCATCAATTAGGGGATTGTTTGACTTACCACACTTACTACAACATGTGCAAAAACAACAAAGTTCGTTCATGATCATCATTTATCAAATATCTTTCATACAATCTTTCTGTGAGTCATTGAGAGCTGCCTTTCATATTTTTCTTAACTAAAAGTATCTGTGATCATCTTAACATACTGGCCTATGTCTTTAATCTTTCCTGCGTAGTTCCATTATTTCAAAAAATTTGATAGCAAGTTCCCATTTGGCAATCCACCCAAATGCTCATCAATGGTTTCTGCTCAGTATGGTGTTTTTCCTGATATCTAAGATTGTCATTGTCTTGGAGTTAGAATTTTTAGTGCATTAAGCTGAGTTTGGTCGAAGTTGAACTTTCTACTACATTGACTGTTGATTCTTTGTGGTTGAAAATAGACTGATTTCTGTACATATCTCCATAATTGCTTTCTAGTTCATGCTCCCTCCATCTGCTATTGTTATGTATCTGAACTTTGACGTCAACAGGTTGAACTTGAGTCTATCAGGAGTGAATATACAAATGCACAACTTGAGTGTAATGCCTCTGATGAGCGTGCCAAGTTATTGGCTTCTGAAGTTATTGGTTTAGAGGAGAAGGTACTGAATTTTCTTGGTATGTTTTGCCATTTGGATTTACTTTTAAGGATAAAATATGATTTTCCCCATCTTTTATTTGTAGTACATGTTAGAGGGAGAATTTGTACTGTGGAATAAATTTGATTTGTAACAAATTACCAATATATGATTGTTAGAGAATAGTGATATAAAACCTTTCATGAGCATTTTCCTAATAGCTTAAGGTTTTAGGAGAGCTGGTATTTGATATATAATTAAACCTTATATAATTGAGTTGTAACCACATTATTTATAGTTAAATACTAATGCACATAGCTAGACTATTACATATAGGTTTAGATACTTACTAGATTCCAACTTTTAATTTGTTGTGTTCAATAAACTTTGTAGGCACTCAGACTAAGATCTAGTGAGCTAAAGCTTGAGAAGCAGTTGGAAAATGCAGAAGCAGAAATTTCATCATACAGGTATTTTGAGGTTTTAAATTTGCAGCAAAAGAAATATAGATGGCAAGATTGAGATTTTTGAATATTCAACCAGGGTTTTTGCCTGAAAAAGGTGGCATTTATTTGAAGTGTACCTATTAAAATGTCTACTTTAGTCTGGACTTCTACCTAACATTGCAGATGAATTTATGATTAGTATTCTTGTATTAACGTAATTTTTTTTCTTGAATGATATGGAGGTCATTGATATCTTAATTTAATACTGAATTGTCTTTTCTCAAAGAATGTTTGATAGCATTGAGCAGAGTGAAAAGCATAAAATTAGGGAAGACATCCATATTGACTAGAATGAGTGCCATCCCTTATCCGTGATTGTCTGTCTAAGCCTCTAAGGAAATCTTCATACACTGTTTTTAGGGTTTAGTGCATGTTTGGGTAATTGGTGTAGAGTTACTTGAGTGAAATTCACTTTGGATGAACTAATTTTGAAAATCATTACTCCTACTTTGTTTTTCTTCTGTGGTTTTGTGTCTCATATGAGGATTTCTTTTGAAGAGGGGAGCCTGGAGCGGTGGTAAAGTTGTTCCTTTGTGACTAAAAGGTCACGAGTTTGAATAGAGGAATAACCTCTTTGCAAATATACATGGGTAACGCTATGCACAAGGGTTGCCCTCATCCTTATCCTTGCTAGTTGGTTTTTAATGGGTGGTGATCTTTATGTGGATTTATTTTCCTTAAATTGAATTACTCACTTCTTTCTTTACCTAATAAATTTCGTATTGTATGGAATGAATTTTATAAAGCTTTTTTTTGAAATAATGAGTTTTATTTTATGTTTTTGGGGTGTTCACCCACTTGTACTTTTTGGTGATTGGGATAGAAACTAAAATTACTTTTCACCTGAAGTAATTTTCATTTTTGGCAGAATGATTATTTGAACACTAATTTTAATATTGGTTTTTACAGCCAGACAGTATCCAAACAATCTAGTTAAAAATGTTGTATTTTTTAAATATAGTAATTTTACCTCATACTGATGGATTGATTTGATGTCAGCTTCTCATTTTCTTCAATTGTTGATTTTTCTGACTAAGTTTATCTAAAGATTCTGGGTTATTTTAAAATAACAGCTCACAATAAATATTGCAGAAAGAAAATGTCTAGCCTAGACAAAGAGCGCCATGATTTGCTGTCAACCATCGATGCTCTTCAAGAGGGTAATCAGACTTTAACTATAACTTATCACTGCTGTTTGGGTTCACATAGATTTTAATTTTTCGTTTGAATTTGTCATTGTATTTTCTATTGGCTTGCCAATGTGGACTGGCAGTGGTAAGGCTCGTGCTTTTACTTATATGATTCTTATGGTATGAAAGAAGGAAAGAACCAGGGTCAAGAGGGAACATTAATTAGCCATAGAAATAAAAAATAGAAAAACCAATTGTTTCTGGATTGTTTTAAAGTATTTCTTCTATCTTGTTTCTTGATGTCTCAAATTAATTTCTAATTTAGAATGCTGTAGTTTGTGAATATGCTTACAACACTAATCATGTATGATGCTTTTATGGTTTTTTGATCTTCCAAATTTCAATTATCAAGATACTCAACTTTGACTCTAGTTCTTGGGTTTTATATTATTGCATTATTGATGGTGATTTTATAAAGGAGAATTTCTATCCATGTTGGTCTCTGGTGTACTTGGCTAGAGACCAATGGTTACATGTTCAGCAACACATCACTAACTTAGGTTATCTTTGGTTATTAACACTTTATTGTATTAAAAACCTTTTATATGCTTTATTTTAATTTTGTGCTATTGTTCTGATATCTGTAGCTCTCTTTATATTTGTGCTCCTTTGTTTTCTCTAATTGTTGTTTTTTTTTTAAAACTAAAATACGGTCTTTTGCTTGGAAATGTACTTTTGTCTTGCATGATATTTTCAGGACTTGAATCTTCGATGATTTTTACTTTTAGTCCTTCTGGTATATGTGGGTGTGGATAACCAATTTGATGTTCAGGATTTTTAACTGTCTCCCTATTTTCTAGATATTCAGAGTTGAATGGATTTCTTCTTCTTTGTTTTCTTTTTCTTTTTCATTGGCGGATTTCTTGTAATTTATTTTGTTCTCTTTTGATAAAATTACTACTTACTTTTTATGAAAAGAAAAATATTAGAGATATACGAAAAAATGCTAGGTAACCATTCATTTGGGCGACTAATTTTTAATGTCTAAGTTGAGATATCAAAATGGCTACTCTTGTTTCGAAATTGAAAATAATTTTTTTTGTGAATTGAGTCATGTGAACTCAAATCCGTGTTCATTCTTTGTCATTGCACTGATACAGAAAAGAAGGTGTTGCTGTCTAAGCTGCGAAAGGCTTCAGGAATTGGAAAGTCTATTGAGAGTCAAGTTATTAAAAGGGACGTTTCAACATCTACAGAGGATTTAGGTTTGTTTGCCTCAGTTATGGTTATTACTTTGCTTTGCCTGTTCTAGGTACTCATCATGGGTTACCAATTTATATATGGCTGTCTATTAGGCATCAATCAAGCAAGTTTGCATGCTAATTTTGCTAGTCACTTAAGCCTGTTTTTGTGGTTCCATTATTTCTAGGTGAGAATAAGAGAAGGAAATGCTTCCATTGCGTATCCATTAAAAGGATGCTTAAAATGAAAAAAAATAAAATTCTTGACACGGCTCTAATCTCTAAAGTTGTTATTATTGGCAGGTTATGCAGACCAATATATGAATATATGATTTGCTGTACGTAGCTTAGGTTCATTTTATTTTATATAACTTATTGCAAAAGTGTCTTCTACTCTGTACATAACCATCTTATCAGATCCTTCCAGCATATGTATCAAGTTGTACTCATTCTGAGGAGATCTTTAGAAAAAAATATAATCTCACTAGTAGTTGCCCTTATTTAAATTACATCACATGCTAATAATACAAAAAAAAAAAAAAGGAATTTTGGATGATCATATGTTGTTTACTTCATCCAAGGCTTTTGATTGAATATTTTGTCTTTGAGTACTTTTACTGGTTTAGTATCTCTAGTTATGTTTATATATCTATGTAATGCAGCAAGCGAAGATCCTGCTTCAAACTCTTTCAACCCTGAAATCAATGATAATGCTGCCCAAACCTCTAGTTTGTCTTTAATTCCTGAAACTACACACTCTTCTCTTGGAGTTTCTCCTGTGAATATTCCTCATGATCAGATGAGAATGATTGAGAACATTAATGCTCTTATTTCTGAGGTATGGTTTGGTCTGTTGAAAATTTTCAGTCAGTAATATATACGCCATATTTATTTACTGTTTACTATTTATTTTTTTCTCTTTTATTTACTTTTTTCCTCTCTTTTTTTCCCCTCAATATTTTCTTGTCTTTTATTTGGGTTCAGCGGCCGCCGATCCCAATTAGTTTGGAATAAAAGTGATGTTGATATTGATGCTGTTGTTTATTGTTTAGGGAATTACTTTTTTCACCCATCCTGCTTTAATATGTCTTGTCAAATTAGTCTTAAATTGTCATCAAATAGGCCCAAATATTCACCTGTCTACCTTTCTATGTGCAGCTGGCATTAGAGAAAGAAGAATTGATGAAAGCCTTGACATCTGAATCATCTGAATGTTCCAGGATGAAGGTAATTCAATCAGAATTTGATTTTATATGAATCAGGGAGCACTTGTTTTCTTATTCTCTAGAGCCTGTTTGACATCTTTTTTTAAGTTAAAAGCTACTTTTAAGCTAAAGTTATAAATAGAGCTTAAAAAATAAAGGTAGAAGCTGTTTGATAATTGTATAAAGTTGTTCTTAGGGTTTTGAAAAGAGGGAGATAAAATGATTTGTTATTAGGGTAAATGATATAATTTATAAATAAAAGTTTATAACAAGGGTATAATTGGAAAATAAATGAGAACTCGAAAAAGTTGACATACATCTTAAAATAAGCTCGTCCTAGGAGCTTTTAGCTTTTTCTTCATTATAAAAAAAAAGCCCTTTTATGATAAGAGCTTTTATAAAATTATGTTTGGCTAAACTTTTGTTTATAAGGAGAAGAGAATCTAAAAATAAGAGCACCCAAACACACCTAGTCTTATGAATAACTTGCTATTGTTTATACCATGGTAGAAGAGAGCACTTTCTTGAAAGTAAGATTAGATCTGGGTTCCTGCTTTGATACCTCTGATATTACTGGATGAATCAGTTGAGACTTTGGTGAAAAAATTGCAATGCTCTTATGCCGGTTTGGCCTTGCTGTGAAGTTTTTTGCCCTTTTAAAAAATGATTCTTTTGAAAACGGCTTCTACAATAGGTGCTATTAGAAAGAAACAGTGTTGCCTAAAATGTCAGATCTTGTTTGGCCCTATTGTTAAATTCACAAATCCAACATTTTAGTTAAAAAGAATACTTCTTTTGATTTTTTGTGGTGTTTGGCCAAAATATTAAAGTCTTTCAAAAGTATGTCCGAAGAAGAAAATTTGCTGTGAAAGAGAAATAACAAGTTGGTGCTTCTCTTAAGAAGCCAAAGAAGAAAAATTTCTTTGCTAGCAACTTATGATCCCTTTTTGCTTTTACTTAAATCTACCTATTTCTCTGCTAATTGTGGTAGGAGAATTTGGACTTGGACTTCAAATTTTTCTTGTGTGTTTTCATATAAACACTTCTGTCCATTTTTTAACTCTCCTAATCACAAAGGAATTTTAGTCAAAGTTCAAGACTCAAGTCTTTTGTTCGGGCAACAATGCTTGATAGCATTAATACGAATGACTTGTTGCCCTCTCTTTCTCCCAACACATGTTATATGCGACTAAAGTTCAGAAACAGTAGCCAATTTATATTTGTGCAGCTAGGCAGATCTTTTCCATCAAACAATTTTTTTTGTGTTCTTGGTCAGCACTGCACGTGTCCTGCTTTGAGCAGTTCTTAATGTGTTTTGGGTAAAAAAAGGAGAAAACTTTATGGTGTGCAACTGTGCATTTGGTTGGTGCTAGTTGCACACATTTAATGACATCATTTCTATGGTGTCTCCTTGCCCTTGAATTTTCTATGGGATAGGATTTTGGTTTTAGCTTCTGGTGTTCCTTGTATTATTTTTGCATTCTGGTTCTCTATTAGTCTAACCATGCAGTCTCTGCCGTTGGTTTTGATGATTGAAGGAGATAAATAAGGAGTTGTCCCGAAAACTTGAGGTCCAGACACAAAGATTAGAGCTTTTGACTGCTCAAAGCATGGTTAACGACAATATTTCAGCAAAACAACCAGATTCTCTCGCTATGTATGAGAACAACACCCCATACGCAGATGAGGGTGATGAGGTAACTTGTTCAGTTTACTTTATGCTCGTTATATGAACTTGTTATTGTATGACTAGTTTGGATGAATCCCAACTTTTTATTTTGTTATTGAAAGCTGCACTAATTGTGAGGAGTGCGTGTAACTTGGTGAAAAATTGAAACCTTTACTATTGTCATGGGTGGAAATAATTGGTTTATGCTCAAAAACTATTTAGTAGTGGTTGTTAAGAAAATAAGGTTTAGAAAACTTGAAATGAAAAAAAGGGAATTGATATCTCTTTTTCTCGTACTAGGTGGTGGAAAGGGTGTTGGGATGGATTATGAAGCTTTTTCCTGGTGGGCCTTCAAGGCGAAGAACCAGCAAACTTCTTTGATTGGATTTATATTGTAATTGTTGTCACCAAAGTCTACACAGCTACTGGGATGGATTATGAAGATGTTTCCCTGTATGCCCACCAAGGTAAAGGACCAGCACATCTAAGCCTCGACCATTGAGTAACAGGTCAACAAAGTCTGCTGAGTTGCTTTTTGTTCTTGTCACCTCCTCTAGGTTGAGGAGGTCGTGATCTGTATATTTTGAGTGAATTATACAACAAATTATTGAAAAGAAAGAAGCTTGTTATCATAGCTGCTTATTGATTGGTGAATCGGGCTGCAATTATTTTGGAAGATGGCAATAAAATCTGTTCTCTGGTTTTATATCTTGATTGAATTCCAATTTTTGTGCGAATAGTAGTTTGGATATGAAAGAGACTGTACCAAGAAGCCTTGGGGAGGACACTAGACCAATTGTTCAAAAGCATGAGATTTGGGAACATTTGATGAATGTATATTCAAGGTACAAGTGTAATACGTGAAGTCTGTATTTTTCAGTGCTCTACATCACTTATGAACATTACTGTCCCTAAGTTAGTATATTTAGTGAAAGCAGTATTTACCAGTTATTTGATAGGTAACAAGTTTGCGCAAAAATAGCGTGTTCGTGCTGTGACTGTTTCAGTTGAAATATTGTGTCGGGTTTATTTCACAAGCATCAAAATTAAAATTTGGAACCTAATTCAATTGAAAGTTATGCACGCAGCTGAAATGATGCTAAAATTCCTTATGCACTTATTTCCAATTGACCTATATAATAAATAAACGAGGCCTCAATATGATGATGACTAAGTGGAGTAATAATAGGTTATGGTGGGTGATGTTAAAATAATGAAACTTGTTATCCATGTTTATGTTTACTTTGTCTTAGCTTGAGAATATAGTATTAAAGAAGGGAAATATTATTCTTCTATTACGGGAAAATAATATTTTCTTTCAAGAGAGAAAAAAGAATAAAGTGAGAGAAGATGTTTGGTATGGGACTTACCTTATTCTTCTGTCTGCAGGAATATTATATCTTTTTTCTGCGGCAGGAGCAAATAGTTAAAATTGAGTTCTTTCGTAAAATTAAAAGGGAAATAAAAAATTGTAGAAGGTAAAATCATAATATAAAAAAAATAAAATAAAATAAAAATGCTTGGAATATTGATAAAAATATTTTGATGAAAAAAATCATAAAAATCATAAAAATATAGTGATAAATTGAGATTTTAACTAGGAAAACATCATTTCCCATTAAAGAAATGGAAAAGGGTTTATAAAAAAAAAAATGGAAAAGGAGTACAATATGCACACCGAGCCAACGACAGACAATAGAAGCACACAGCATTGGTAAGTTTGGAAACCTTCCCCATTTAAATATTTTTAAGTTGGGGATTTTTGATTTTCCATTTTCAAAAGGAGGAATTGAGAGGTGTTGTTTGCCAAATGTTATTAAGTTCGCGCTTGTATTTTTGTACATTTTACCAGTCATAGGTGATTACGGGTGCCTTCTTTATTATTTATTTTTTCATGTATGCTGAAAAAAAAAAAAATGACCTAATGACTTGAGTCGATCTATCGTGCAATTGACCAGGTTTATTCGGATTGAGCAACAAAAATTTGCTTAACTGGACTCAACCAACCCGTTTTCATGTATTTAGTTTGGATTTGCTTTCATTGCAGCCCAACTCAACCTTGAGCATCTACCATTAAAATGGCCAATCATGTTAAAATTTTGATTACTATAATTACAAAAACTGAAATTTCACATAATTTTTTTTTAATATTTTGTAGCCAAAGGCAATTTTATTGGAAATGGAAGATGTTTAATTTAGCTATGTACTAGGTGAAATTCATGAGTTTATTTTAAAATCTTAAATTTAATGATACATAATTTAAGACAAGTCTTGCGTATAAAATTAAGTATGTTTGGCTAAACAATTGATATACTACAACAATTTCGGTTTTAATAAAAAGTTTTGTAGGAATATAAATTTTCTTTTTATCATTCGAATGTCACAATTTCTAATATCTTACAATGACTCAATCCTTGTTAACTAAGATTGTAAATTTTATTAATCTAAGAGCGTGAATGAGACAGTGTGAGATGTGCATAATGTCGGAAATCGATAATCACACAAAATCGAGAAAACAGAAAAAGAGATAAGAGTAGAGAGATTGACACGATGATTTACCCCGGTTCACCCAAGCAAGGTTATGTCCAGCTTGTCTGTACTATATTATCCTCACCTCCACTCGTTACAAGTCACTCGATTTACAAGAAAAATATAAATAGGATTAGAAAATCCTAACAACAGCTATTCATGGGCCCAAGACCAAACTGCTAAGAAAATTACAATAAAACAGAGGCCCACAACAGTACCTAGCCTCTACGGGCCTGGGGGCGCTGCCCCCCGGACCACGCCCGCTCACCTGGGAGCGGGACCTCAGTTGCCTTTATGCTGACCCCGACAACTAGGGCCATCATCAACATGCGAAGTATGAGCCATACCCAATATTCTCCCACTTGGTGAATGCTTCGCATGTTTCTTCAATCCCAATGCAGCTGTACGCCATTCAAACTTCTCTGAAGTCACTGCCCTGGTCAGAAAATCAGCATTGTTGACCTTTGTGTCAACCTTTTCCAGCAATACAACCATGTCTTCAATCTTCTCTCTGATGAAGTGGTATTGTATGCCGATATGCTTGGTCCTCGCATGGAAACCTGGGTTCTTAGCCAAGAAAATGGCGCTCTAACTGTCACACCCAACGATCATCTCTCTTTGCACAAAGCCAATCTCTTTGCACAACCTTCATAACCAAATAGCTTCCTTAATAGCATGTGTCAAGGCCATGTACTCAGCCTCTGTAGTAGATAAAGCAACAGTGCTCTGCCTCTTACTCATCCAACTGATAGCTCCGCCGAATGATGAAACAACATATCCACTTGTAGACCTTCTACTATCAATGTCACCTCCCCAATCAGCATCCACAAAGCATCTCAGTTCTAATAATGTCTGTCCCCTCGATCCCTTCACGCTTTCATAGCATAACCCAAGGTCAGACGTACCACGAAGATAGCAGAACACACGCTTCACAGCCGTCCAATGCTCCTTTCCTAGCTTGGACATATACCTACTCAATACTCCCACTGCTTGAGCAATATCAGGTCGACTATAAATCATGGCATGCATCAGACTCCCAACTGCAATAGCATAAGGAACTGACGCCATCTTCTCTTTTTCTTCTTCAGTCTTGGGACACTGGTCAGCCGATAACTTAGAACCAGTAGACATGGGAGTCAACATAGGCTTGCAGTCAGTCATCTTGAATTTCTTCAGAACATCCTCTATATACTTCCGCTGACTTAACCATAATCTTCCTTTGTCACGCCCCCTCTTAATCTGCATACCCAAGATCACATTTGCAGCGCCTAGATATCTCATTTCAAATTGCTTTGCTAGTAGTCCTTTAATAGTGCTGATCATCTTCAAACTGTTTCCAACGAGTAACATGTCGTCAACATACAAAGTTAGAATAACAAAGTCACCTTCTAACCTTTTTCACATAAACACAGTGATCAGCATCACAGCGGTCATAGCCAAGCTTCACCGCATAAGTGTCAAACTTCATGTACCACATCCTCGGGGACTGCTTCAGGCCATACAGAGATTTATTCAGCTTGCAGACTAGCTCCTATTTGCCTCTTGCAATGAACCCCTCTGGTTGCTTCATGAAAATAACCTCCTCCAAATCACCATGAAGGAAAGCCGTCTTCACATCTAGCTGCTCCACCTCTAGGTCATATGCTACAAACAAAAGTAGTCTTATGGAATTTAACTTTGCAACAGGTGAAAATACCTCACCATTATCAACCCCTTCTATCTGTGAATATCCCTTTGCAACCAATCGAGCCTTGTAGCGCTCAATCTCTCCATTGGCACCAACCTTCTTCTTGAACACCCACTTGCAACCAATTGCTTTTCGGTCTGCAGGTAGATTCACCAAACTCCAAGTTTGATTTTTCATCAGAGACTTCATCTCTTCTTTCATAGCTTCCTCCCACTGTTTGGCATCCTCCGAGCTTCTAGCTTGTCTTACGGTGCTCGGATCATCACCTGTAATACTAAATGCACAAGCATCATCACTAGCACACATGATATAATTTTCAGGTGTATACCTCTCAGATGGTCTTCTTTCCCTCGTGGATCTCCTCAGCACTGGTGCTTCAACCTCAGCCTCAGTTTCAGAAAATTCATCCTTTACCTCGTTATATTCAGCAGCTTCAGAATTCAAATTTCCCAATTCAACCTGAGTTTAATGTATCCTTTTTCAAACCCACATCCAACTCCACTATCTGTGCCTTTTCAGGAGCTTCAGGAAAAAAGTGATTCAACTTAGATTCCCTAAATACAATGTCTCTACTGTAAGTTACACTTCTAGTATCCGGATTCCACAACTTATAACCTTTGACGCCATCCTTGTACCCAATAAAGATACACTTTTCAGATTTACTGTCAAGCTTGCTTCTTTTCTCCTTGGGCACGTGCATATATGCTTCACAGCCAAACACTCTGACATGAGATACGTCTGGCCTTTTTCCAAACAGTGCTTCATACGGAGTCTTCTCCTTCAAGGCCGATGTAGGAGACCTGTTCTTCAAATAACAAGCAGTAGCCACTGCCTCTGCCCAAAACTCAGCTGTCAAGCCTGCACCGCTCAGCATACTTCGTGAATTCTCCATGAGAGATCGATTCAACCTCTCTGCCACCCCATTCTGCTGAGGTGAGTAAGGTGTTGTCTTCTGCCTTACAATTCCATTGCTCGCACAAAACTGGTCAAATTTTGTTGAACATAACTCCCCTCTATTGTCAGTTCTCAACACCTTGATTTTTCGATCAAACTGCTTTTCAACCAAAGCCTTAAACTCGCGGAACTTATCGAACACTTCATCCTTGTTGCGCAAGAAATATAACCGCACATTTCTTGAAAAATCATGAGTAAAAGAAACATAATACCTTGATTTTCCATGTGATGCTACAGGTGTGGGGCCAAACACGTCGTTGTGTATCAGGTCCAGAATCCCCTCAGCTCTTCCTCCTATGGAATCAAAAGATACCCGATTTTGCTTCCCTTGCATGCAATGCTCGCAAAATCCAAATTCCATAGAGCAGCTCGAAATTCCATCCACCAGCTTCTTTGATGTCAGAGTCTCCAGAACTTTTCCTCCAATATGCCCCAGCCTCCTATGCCACAACATAGCAGTGTCCTCCTCCGCCTGTTCTGAAACATAGCTTTCACCACTGAATACTGTGCTACCCAGCAGTTTCCACAATTTACCATGACGCTCTGCTCTTGCAATAACCAAAGCTCCTCGAGTCAGCTTGCAAGAATACTTGTCACTGACAAAATTAATACCAGCATCTGCCATACCACCAACAGAGATTAGATTTCTAGTAAGCCCCGGAATATGCATCACACCCGGCAGATTCTTGATTGTCCCGTCACTCATCTTCAGCTTTACCTTCCCACGTCCCACAATCGCATGAGTTGTGTCATCTCTCATTCT